AAAAAGTTGTTCGGGCTTGCGAAATCACAGGGGAATGTAGAACAACATAGGTTTCACACCCGCTTGCACACAAAAGGTATGGAATATTGCAGAAGGCATAGAAAAGCTTCAAAACATATGTAACAGTTGCTGCATTCAGTGGAAAGGGCGGGTCGCTGGGCGCATGGTGAACATCATAGGATTGTAATGTTAACATAAAATCAGAGTCGGTCCTGCGAGCCTGCTGTTTGTTTGTTGCATGGTGCGCTAAGGTGTTTTAGTCGGCCTGATTGTCGCCGGGCAGCCCAAGATGACCTCAAGACGGTCCTCAGCGGTTCCAGCAAAGGCATGGTAGCCCCCAGACCCTAGATAGCCTAAGGTGGCCCCATGACAGCTTTTGTATTGCCCGAGGTAGCTTGAGACTTCCCAGAGATGCCGTTGGGCGTCCCCAAGAACCCAGATGGCCTATTGGAGTCCCAAGTCAACCTAAGGTTGGCCCACGCCCCACGCAGCTGAAGGTTGCCCCAGAGCCTCCGAACCAAGCAGATTGACCCAAGAGCCTATGGCGGCTTCCCCAAGACAGCCTATAATGGCTTTAAACAGCTTGCGATTGCTCCAAGACAACCAATGACACACGATACCCCAAAGACAGCCGAGTACGGCTCCCCAGGAAGCTTACCTTGAGACAGCCTATGGCGGTGCCGAGATCCTCAAGGCAGCCCAGCTTCTGACGACCATAAGCCCGCCATGCGAGTAGAACGATATGAAGAAAGCGGAGATGTGGAGGAAGGAGCGTTGGAGGAGGAGGAGGCGGAGTTTTAGAAGAGCAAGAGGAGTAGGGACAGATGATGAAGAAGGAGGAGTGATTGTCTACGCATCACGTGAATCGCACAGTGCACAGCATTGATGTCAAGTAAAATCCATCTCATCAAGCTCCTTGAAAGTAGGGAGCTTTGCAGGGTGCGGCATGTCACGATGTGTGATCTGGTCGTCGCACTGTCCGCCCATGAGCACCCAATGCTTCAACAGCTTCTCTGTGTTGCCAGGGCCTTTATTTGCCCAGAAGAGCCGCCGCCGCCTGCACTTGTTGGGATGTGCATCTTTGTATACGCACGTGCACTCAAGTCCAGTCACCTCTCCAGTCGTCTTGTGATACACATAAGTGAACCTCGACCCTCGCCAGTTCTGGTTATCCTTCCGGATGCGTCCGACTGGAGGCGCAGGCGGAGGCGGAGACTCTGATGATCCTGAGCTCGAAGAACTCGAGCTCGAAGAACTACTTGAGCTTGAGGCAGCGTCGGAACAGTTGTCGGATTCTGCATGTTCCTCAGCTGGACGCTCCTCGTCTGCCTCGTCTTGGTCATCTTCACCTTCTGCTGGGCCGATCTCGTCAATAGCCTCCTCTTCAACTTCGTAGTCCGCGTCCGAAGCATCAAACTCAAACTCGTCTTTCTTCGTTCGTTTGGCTGGAGGCGTCCACTCGTGGCCCTTGAGGAGAGCCATGTAGTAGCCCTCTGGCATCAGATGCAACACTTGCGAACCATGCCTTGGTGAATCAAGAAGTGCCCACAAGTAGTGCTGGGAAAAGGTCTTCGCACTCTCCCTGAGATGCCGCACTTTCGCGCCCATCTGAGTGCAAGGCTTCAGTCCTCTTCTCGATTTGACAACTTCATGTTTCCAGCCTGCCCTATCAAACAAAAGCGCCAACTGCAAACTTGACAAATCGCAGAGCGGCTTCTCCGAGACCCCAGGCGGCATCATAACATTCTCTGGATTTCCCAAGGGCTGCAAAGTTTGTAAAGATAGCTTCCCACGAGAGCTGAGCATCCAGCTGTTGCCCAGTGATCTAGTCACAAAGCCCTTCTCGGATAAAAACTTCAAGGCGCGCTCCGCATTGTCAGTGAGCGCCTCCGCCTTGAAGAAGACACCCTGCCCATTCGCAGCTGCAGATGGCAAGAGCTGCTCGATGACAAGGCCCATCGCGCCAGCAATCCCTGCCGGCGCCTCGACGCCACCAAATTTGTGGCACAGCGCGGGTTGACAAATGTATCGAGTTAGGCTCTTCCACTCTGACATGGTGAAGGTCGACGGCACTGCAATCACAGAAGATTCATCAAGTCCAGTCTCAGTATCTTTCATGAGCAGGACTGGCGTTTCCGAGCTCGGGTCCGTGACTTCACACAGCGAGATAGCAATGCTGTCGGAGTCGCGAACCCTTGGCGCCCCAGGTGGCGCGACGAGATCTGAAGGCTTGGTATGGTGGAAAGTAAAAAACAAATGCCGTCCTCCATTGATCTTGCCAGAAGGTGCATCATCGGGCAGAGGGTCACTGGCCATCTCGACATCGAAATCAAATTCATCATAGGCTTTTCTGATGTCATATGTCGGGTCAGTGATGTCGATAAGCCGCTGGAGGTCTACATCAACGAACGGACGGTCCAAAGCCAAGGAGAATATCTTGTGTCCCATAGCTTCATCTCCAGACTGAGCACAGGCCCTGAGATGGCGCACAGCAAGGAGTGACATGATGACCTGGTATATGTCAGCACGGCCAGCCTTCTTCAAGGAAGCGTCGTCGCTGGCGCTCGGGGCGGCACCGCCTCCACCACCAGACTCGTCGCCACCAGAGCCAACGATGTGACCAGCACCACTGCCGCTGGCTCCACCGCCGCCGCCGCTACCGTCGCTGCCCCCGTGGCCCGCCCCAGGGCCCCCGGGCGCAGCCCCAGGTGCGTGGCCGCCACCGCCACTGCAGCCGCCAGAGCTGCCACCGCCACCGCCACCACCAGCTCCATGAGGGTCACCATCGCCGCGTGGTGGTGGTGGTCCTAGCAGTGAGGCGCCATGAAGCAACTCGGACATGTAGTTGAGGAGCAAGAGGCGGACGAGGAGGAGGATGAGGAGGAGGACAAGGAGAAGGATAGTGGGGGAAGTGAAAGAGGCGGAGAATGAATGAAGAATATAACAAGGAGGATGATAATAATATGAAAGAGGAGGGAGAAACGTGAGGCACATGCGGAGCAGATTTGGAAAGTGAAGAACGACCATCAAGCAAAACTCTTGAGACCTTCCCAGGGACAGGACTTTACGAAACATTTGACATCGGTTTTCACATGTAGAGAAGAAGGATGCTGAGATATTTACGCTTGTTGGCAATGTCCTTTACACTACACTCTGATGTGTCTGCGAAGGGCACAACCTAGGAAAGACTCCCCATTGGAGGATGAGCTGAAGGAGATGGAAGACGAATAGCCCCCTGACACACTCTGAAATGGCCTCTCGAATCCTCAGAAGGCCCATCATTATGGACATCCTCACCTCTCCTCCACCCTCCCTCTGCTCCTTCTTCTTGCCCTCTCTCCTCCTGTTTTGCTTGCGAGGGTGTTTGATTTCAACCCGAAGTGTCCTGGGCCTGCAGGGGGTGCGGGCGGTGGTGGAGGCACAGGCCCGATGGGGAGCAAATCTGGCAAGTCCTGGTAAAGTGTGCGCGGGTCGACGTGATAAATAATACGGGCGAGTTCCTTGAGGTGCTTTCGATGGAGAGCACTTTTCTTTCCAGCAGCCTGGAATTCCACAACTCGGGGATGCAATCGAAAGCCAACCGTGCTGATGCATTCGACGATGTTCCTCGTGTTCATGCAGTGCTTGGCCAACAAATCAAACGACTGGGGCTCACGCTGCAGGTGCTCTTTGAGAACTGGCAAGCACGAGTGAAATGCAACATGTACAGCTCCTGCGTTATGTGCTGACGCCAACCAGTGCTTGTTTGCAGCATGCAGCGCCTCGACCCAACGCTCGCTCGTCAAGATGAACCTGAAGCGGGCCATCATGCGTAGAAGGAAAGGCAGGTTGACAGGGTCCTCACCATCAACGAAGGCGGTCATCTCAACATAGCCCCTGGAACCAGGAGCGCACAACAGCATCTCCACAAGATGATGTCGACGACCGACTGGTGCGCCAGCAAACAAAGCCAATGCACGCCTTGCGCACTCGCGACCGACCTGAAGGGATGTCGAAGCAGTCTCAGCAAGTACCCATGGCAATTGTTGCCAATGGCCGAACTTGATATTGAAAATGAAATGCACGTACCGACGCATAGAGTCAAAGTCTCGCAGTATGATTGCCCGGTCTTGCCCAACCACGCCCACGGCCGCTAGGTCAAACAGCAGCCCGTTGAGAGATACACGCAGGAGCAGCCGCAAGAATGATGAGAAACGCCCAGCTGCAAGGTCAGGTGCTCGCCGACATATCATCGGGCATGGCTTGCCCAGAATGCGCTTCCAGTACGACTTTCTCTCCCGGCTGCGGAAACGTGCTTCCCCTGGGGTTGAGTCGGAATCATGGCAAGGGCAACTATCGATCCAACCAGATAGGTACATAAATAACGTAGCTGTAATGTCCACCATTGTTGCGTATCCCCAGAACAATCTTGATCGAATAGCCTCGTCGACTCTGTCCACGTTGGCTCCTTTGCGGTCGGGGTCGTCGATGTCATCACGGGGGGCCGCCACTCCACCCTCCAATTTGTATCGAGCCTTGTCCCAGCTGTAGCGACGGGGTTCAGATATGTTCGGGTCGATCGGGAGGTGGGTAGCGTTGTGAACAGTGCCCCATCGTCCATCGTAGATGCGAGCAGTGAAACCAGCAATGTCGTCGTAGAACAATGCCCCAGCGCCGCCGGCGAAACATGTACGCAAAAGACGTTCCTTCGAAAACTTCATGCTCAGCAATTTACACACGTTTTTCGCATACTCTACGAAATCGTCCCACCACGCCAGAACAGTTGGAAGCCCTTTCGCGAGGTTGTGTAGGACATGATGCGGACCTGGTGTGTAGATCGACTTCGAAAGATCGACGACGTAGGCATCCTCACAGGGGTAGTCAGGTGGGCCCTGGTCCTCGTTGTCATCACCTGCATCTCGTCCGCCTGAGCCGTGATCTGCAATGTCAGCGTGCTCGTCGAAGTTGAACTCTTCTGCCGGGCCCTCGCCGTCGACGTCGAAGTTGAAGTCGAAGGCGTCGTCCTCGCCGCCCTCGCCGCCACCATCGCCGTCTTCTGCAGCGACCCGCTGCCCGAACGTATCACGAATGTCCGTGCGATAATCTACGGTGGTGGCCTCGCCTAGATCCCCAGTAACGCTCACGGTTGCATTCAGGAGATGGCATGCCGAACGCCACCCAGGCGAGACAATCTTCTGCGCGTGCACAGGAGCGTGCCCCTTGTACTTGAGGCCCTTCCTGCCACTGCCAACGCCGACAGGACAGCCAGCCTCTAAGACCAGCAGCCTCTTCAGCTCATCGACCAGGTCAGCTGCATTGTCGGGGCGCCTGCATAGCTGCATCGATACCTCCAAAGCTCTTGGCACATCACGTTGTCGCATCGATGATGCGCCATGCAAAAGCCATTCAACACCAGCTTGAGGAGAAAGATCCAGCGTCCTCCAAGACACGACTCCGCCTCGATGGTTCAAATCATACCCATGCCCAAGCGCTCCTCCCCACCTCCTCCGATTCCGTTCTTCCTCTGGCATCTCGGAGGGGGTGGTTCAGGTGCGTAGGGACTGGGTCTGATTTGAACCACTGATGCCTGCATCCTCCAGAAGCGTCGCGTTGAGCTGCTGCAGCCGAGCGCAAAAACCAAGATGCAAAGTCAACCTGTGCCGATGCAGAGTCGCTCTCCCAGGCAGAATGTGAGGCTGGTGTACAAGCGTCACAAGATGTCGACAGAGAGCACGGTCAGCCACTACCGCTTGAATGCATCGAACACAAATTTCTTTGAAACTCTCCACCTGCCGAAGGAGCGACGACGCCAGCACAGCATTGATCATCGATTCCATTCTGAACGCCCTGCGCGTCTGCCACATCTGTTGGAGAAGCATTGCGTTCCGCATGTTCTGTAGCCACGCGATGTGGTGGCCAGCTTCCTCTTTGATCGGAGCGTCACCAGCGACCATGGATGATAGGATCTGTAAGGTGTCGGCCGCGCCTTGCAGATCACCAGTCGACAAGTCATGATCCTGTCAGGGTTTCAAAGCATACCCATGCCCTCGCATTGCTTCCCTTCCCATCCGCCCTGCTCCTCGCTGACACCCCTTCCTAGGGAGATTAGAGGGCAGGGCTTAGGGGGGAAGCAGACACATGGGCACGTATGCTTTGGAACCCTGTCCTCGTCAGGTAGCGCAGTGACTCCTCGTCGGATTGCGTCCTCGCCAAAGTGTCGCCATAATGGTGCCACCAGAGACAGCCGCATGCCTCTGCAAGTCCTCGGGTTCTGGCTGATGGGAAACGCCCAAGATGACCAACGCTTCGTGGCGCAAGGAACGGCATGAGGCAATGGCATCATCGCAATCGTCGTGATGAGAGGTTCGTCTCTATCGTTTCGCCCTGCTCGGATGTTATGTTTGAGCTCCCACCGCAGGATCGTTTCTGAGAGGTTGTCGTGACCAACGCATCCAGCATCCACGCATCGTCTAAACGTGCTCCTGGAAACCTATCCGAATAGCGACTTGAAGTTTTGATTGCATTGTGACTTGAACATATGCACGGGATGCCTCATAGCATCAGCTTCAACAAGGCGCAGCATCACTAAGGCATCCTCCTTCCACCTTGTCTGAGACCAGTAATCCAATAGCGCACGCTCAGCAGAGACCAAGAATGTAGCAGCATATGGAATCCCAGTGGGCACGGCCAGGGCGACACCAACAACAGTCATATGTATTGAATCTAATCGTTGAGCCCACTGCTTTGGGTCACTACTGAACTGCGCATTCAACCCAACTTCACTGCATTGAGCATTCAGACCAGAACACACCACAAGTGAAAACACCGCCTTGAGAGGAACACATCCGTTACCAGGGCCCTGTCTGTCAGTCCTGCGGGCCCCGACAAGAAGAAACATTAGAAGTCGGACATGGGAACCAACCGAATTCCAGGCCACTGCCATAGCCTGAGCCTCAGCCAAAATGGCTGCGATGCGATCGCAGCTCAATCTTGAGACGGCGTGCCAAAATGTCAAGATGGCTTCCAACATTGCCCCCCAAACGCCTCCAAGACAGCCCCCCATGACAGGGCCCCATGATGGCCTCCCAAGACGCAAGACGGAGGGTTCCCAAGACGCCCCCCCCAAAGTGACGAGCCCCAAGATCCCCACGACGTCTCCCGAAGATCCCAAGACGTCTCCCCAAGGCCCAAGACCCCACAGACCCTCAGACTCCAAGACTATAGCCACCCAAAGATACCCTCAGGCACCAAGACTATAGCCACCCAAAGGCAGCCCTTAGACACCAAGACTATAGCCACCCAAAGATACCCAAAGATCCCGACCCCCTCAAGACCCAAGACGAGCTCCCAAAGAGTGTTTGCACGGACATCTCAGGACTCAGGAAGGAACGTACAGCGCACAAGGGAGAATTCATTGAAGCGTCGCTGCTGCATCAGCAAGTCCTATGCGCCTCGTCCCTCGTATTCCTCCTCATCCTCCTCTTCCTCTTCCTTCCCACCCTCATCCTCATCCTCTTTTCTTTCTCCTCAGCCATCCCCTTCCTCCTGGTTCCTCCTCAGCCACCCTCTTCCTCCTCGTCCTCATTCTTCGTTGTTCATCATCCTCGTCCTCCTCCTTTTTTCACCATGTTGAAAACCAGGCGAATCCTTTCGAAACGCAGGCGGGCATGTAGATCCAGCCCGCCAGGGGTTGGATGGGGTCCCTACAAAGGGATTGCGAGATTTACCATCTCCCGTGGCCCCTAAGTAAAGTCCCCAGCCCCTCTGCAACGACCTCGGGGTCAAGGAGCAGCGCGGTCTTGAAGCCAGACCTCGGTCCAGCGGGCCGATGGCAAAGGAGGGGTGAGAGGACATGGGGTGGGCGCGCAGAAGAATGAAGGAGGACAGTCTGACGGCGGAACGAAGGGAGGGAGGAAGGGGAGAGACGGAGGGAGAGGAGAGGGAGTGAGGGGAGGGGAGTGAGGGGAGGATCGACGAGGGTGGGGAAGCAAATGGGGCAGGGGCAAGGGAAGGGGGCCAAATATTGTCGACCGGGGGCCCAAATCTCACCGAGAAACGTGTGGGGCCGCAACGCCCTTCTCGCCACCGCTGCCGCCGCCGTCGTCTGTCCGTCCGTCCGACTGTCCGTCCTCGCCGCCGTCTTCGCCGCCGCCGCCGACTTCGCCGCCGCCGCGGCCGCCGTCGTCGTCGTCGTCGTCGTCGTCGTCGTCGTCGTCGTCGTCGCCGCCGCAGTTGCCGTCGCCGTCGCCGTCGCCGTCGTCGTCGCCATCGCCGCCGCCGCCGCCGCCGCCGCCACCGCCGCCGTCGTGGTCGTGGTGGTCGTCGCCGCCTTGGTCGTGGACGTCGTCGCTGTCGCCGTCGCCGTCGCCGTCGCCGTCGCCGTCGCCGTCGCCGTCGCCGTCGCCGTCGCCGTCGCCGTCGCCGTCGTCGTCGTCGTCGTCGTCGTCGTCGTCGTCGTCGTCGTCGTTCGTTGTCGCCCGTTGTCGCTCGTCGTCGTTATAGTCGTCACTCGCCGTCGCCGTCGTCGCCGCCGCCGCCGTCGTCGTGGTTGTGGTCGTTGTCGCCGCCTTGGTGGTGGTGGTCGTCGTCGTCGTCGTCAATCGTCGTCGTCGTCCATTGTCGTCGTCGTCGTCGCTCGTCGTCGTTGTCGTCGTCGTCATCGTCGCCGCCGCAACCTTGGTCGTGGTCGTCGCCGTCGCCGTCGCCGCCACCGCCGCCGTCGTGGTCGGAGTCGTCGTCGCGGCCTTCTGGGTTGTGGTCGTCGTTGTCGTCGTCGTCGTCGCCGTCGCCGTCGCGTCGCCATCGCCGTCGCCGTCGCCGTCGCCGTTGTCGTCGTCGTCGTCGTCGTCGTCGTCGTCGTCGTCGTCGTCGTCGGCGTCGTCGTCGTCAATCGTCGTCGTCGTCGTCGTCGCTGTCATCGTCGTCGCCGACGCCCTCGCCGCTGTTGTGGTCGTGGTCGTCATGTCCGCCTTGGTCGTGGTCGTTATCGCCGTCGCCGTCGCCGTCGCCGTTGCCGCCGCCGCCGTCGTCGTCGTCGTCGCCGGCGACGTCGCCGTCGTCGTCGTCGTCGTCGTTCTCGTCGTTGCCATCATCGCTCGCTGTCGCCGTCGCCGTCGCCGCCGCCGTCGCCGTCGTCGTCGTGGAAGTCGTCGCGGCCCCCTGGGTCGTGGTCGTCGTCGTCGTCGCCGTCGTCGTCGCCGTCGCCGTCGCCGTGGCCGTCGCCGTCGCCGTTGTCGTCGTCATCGTCGTCGTCGTCGTCGTCGTTGTCGTCGTCGCCGTCGCCGTCGCCGTCGTCGTCGCCACCGCCGCCACCGTCGTGGTCGTGGTCGTCGTCGCCGCCTTGGTCGTGGTCGCCGTCGCCGTCGTCCTCGTCGCTGCCGTCGCCGTCGCCGTTGTCGCCATCGCCGTCGTCGTCGTTCCTTTACGCTCCGCCCAGCGGCCCGCCCGCGGGTGCCCGCGCCCAGCGGGGGACTGTCCCTGGCCAGGCGCAGGAACGCACGCCTGGCCAGCCCGCCACAGCATCGGCGCGGGCACGTCCGGCCGCCCGCCAGTGCGCGCCGACCGCCCACCTGGGCCTCGCCCTGACGCCTGGATGCGTCCGTCGAGCAGCGCCTGGGCTCTCAAGGGCGGCCCTGCCGCCTGGCCCCCCCAGCTCGGCTGGGCCAGTGCGTAGCTCCTCCTCCCCGGCGCTTCTGGGCGGGGGTGGGGCCCCCCAGGCGCGAGGACCTTCGGGCAAGGAGGCGCTGAGCAGCGCAGCGGGCTCAGCCTGAAGCCCCCGTTTGCCCCTCGGGGCCTCCCGCCTCGGAGAGAGCGCCTTCTGTGGACGCGGGGGGGCGTAACCCCCCTCTCCAAAGATCCTCCTACAGACGACGCTGTTTCCCATCTTTGAGTTCCCAGCTCCCCCCCCGCCCCCATCTCTGAGAGAACGCGTCTCACAGACGCCTGCTTAGGAAACCTCGACGCGTCGGAACCATGGGGGTGCCCGCCCCCCAACCCCTGGTCCCACGGGGGGGGGACGGGTCGAACCCCCGTTCCCCCCCCTTTCCTCCCCTACTCGCCTTTGGCAGCGAGCGCCTACGACGACGCAGACGACGGCGACAACCTCGGCGGCGGCGGCGGCGGCGACGCACCTGGCGCCGGCGCTGGCCCGGGCACAAAGGAAAGATCGACCTTCGCCGCCAACGCACTCGCCGCCAGTGATGGACGCCGACAACGACGACATCGCCAGAGGCGAGGCGGCGGCGCACCTGGCGCCAGCACAGGCACAAGAGGGGGTCGGCCTTCCCCTCCACTTGCCGCTGGTAAGCCATCATCCTCATCCTCATCCTCCTCTTAATCCTCATCCTCATTTTCATCCTCATCCTCAATCTCCTCATCACCCTCATCCTCATCCTCACCCTTATCATCAACACCATCCTCATCCTCATCCTCACCATCCTGATCCTAATCGTTATCCGCATCATCAGCGTCATCCGCATGCTCACCCCCTCACCAACACCATCAGCATCACCAGCATCGCCATTCGCGTCCTCATATTCATCGTCGTCACCACCATAATCAGATTTTCACCATCATCACCATCACCATCACCATCATCATCATCATCATCAGCATCCTGCTCCTCATCATCTTCATCAACGTCATCATCCTCATCCTCATCCTCATCCATAGCATTATTGTCATCATCAACATCCTCGATGTCATCCCCATCCTTCTCCTCCTCCTCCTCGTCATCATCACTCTCATCATCGCCATCCTCCTCCCCCTCCTCCTGCTCATCATCATCATCATCATCATCATCATCATCATCATCATCATCATCATCATCATCACCATCACCATCACCATCACCATCATCATCATCATCAGCATCCTGATCCTCATCATCTTCATCAACGTCATCATCCTCATCCTCATCCTCATCCATATCATTATTGTCATCATCGACATCCTCGATGTCATCCCCATCCTCCTTCTCCTGCTCCTCCTCCTTCTCCTCCTCGTCATCATCACTCTCATCATCGCCATCCTCCTCCCCCTCCTCCTGCTCATCATCATCATCATCATCATCATCATCATCATCATCACCATATCAGCATCATCATCACCACCATCATCATCCTCGCCATCATTATCGTCGACAACACCATCACCATCAGCATCGCCGACAGCATCGTCAACATAACCATCATCGCCATTACCATCACCATCATCATCCCTACCCCCTACGTCATTCATCGTCATCACCATTGCAATAGTCAGCATAAGCGGCATCATCACCACCAATACCACCACTACCATCACCATCACCATCATTATCCTCAAAAAAATTGTCATCCGCATTACCGTTATCAACGCATAGACCAGCACCATGATAACCATTACCATCACCACCACCATCATCATCAACATCATCATCACCATCATCAGTATCACCATCGTCATCATCTTCATCCACATCATAGTCAGCATCATCATCGTCATCACAATCTTCCTCGTCATCATCATTCCCATGACCGCAGCCAACCCGTCTTAAGCATCGTCATCATCATCAGCATCATCATCCTCATCATCTTAATTGTCGTTGCCGTCGTCACCATCTTCGTCACTAACATTATCATCATCCTCATCATCAGCATCATCATCATCATCCTCACCAGATTTGGCTTCGTCATCATCATCGTCATGGCCATCATCATTGTCCTCATCCTCCTCATCATCATCATCCTCATAGTCGCCATCCTCATCGTCACCATCATCACCGACGTCGTCGTCGTCATTATCATCATCATCGCCATCGCCATATTATCGTCATATCCATCGTCATGCTCTTCATCAGTATCACAATGCTCATCTTCGTCGTCATTCTAAGCAGCATCACCATCATCGTGATCACCACCACCATCATCATCGTCATCATCACCACCACCACCATCATCATCATCACCACCACCATCATCACCATCATCATCAGCATCATCATCACCGTCGTCGTCGTTGTCATCGTTGTCGTCGTCGTCGTCCATCATCGTCGTCCACTTCATTCGTCGTCCTCGTCGTTGTCGTTGTCGTCGTCGTCGCCAGCGCTGGCGCCAACGACGGCCATCGTCGCTTGCCGCCCGCAAGTAGTGTTAGGTCGGGCATGTCCCGCTACAGGCGGATATGGTGCGAAAAATCAGAAAATACTGAAACAATTCCCCCCAAATGGTCACAACATATTCAAAACATCGTTCCCAGACTATTGTTGCACTATTTTTTGCACTATTTCTAAACCTTCCTCCTGTAGAGGGGCAAGACCGAAAACGTAGTGAGCGGGGGGAGGCGGGGCCGGTTCGAACCCTCCCCCCGAACCCTCCCCTCCCTCCCGAACGTCCACAGAACGCGCCCGTTCCCGTCTCTTGAGCAGGGACCGACCGTCCCGGCAGTCCTATAGGCCTACCACGAAATATTCTCAGAACCAACAATGCTCTTAGAACGTAAGCCCGATGCGTTAAAACAGGACAGTCCCAGCCAGAAGTGTTTCAGGAACATGTCGTGCAAACCTTTAAAATTTTAGAACATTCTTTGGTGGGCCTATGGGCGAGCCAGGACGCTTCGCCGCTGCTTGAATCTCTGAGCACCCCCCCCTCGCTGCTGGCCGTGCGATGGGGCAGCCTGGCCGCGGGCCACGCAAAAATAAAAAATAAGAAAAAAAAAACAACACAAAAATAAAAAAAAAAAAGACACAGAAAAAAAACAAAAAAAAAAAAAATATAAAAAAAAAATAAAAATAAAAGAAAAAAACAAAAAAAAAAAAAAAAAAAAAAATAAAAAAAAAAACAAAAGAAAATAAAAAGAAACACAAAAAACCACCGACACCCCCCCCCCGCTCCCCCTCCCGAACCCCCCCCCCTCCACACCCCTCCTCCGCCCCCCGACCGTACCCACTCCCCCACCCCCCCCCCCCCACCCCCCGCTCCCCCCCGCCCCCCCCCCCCCCTCCCCCCCCTCCCCCCCCACCCCCCAGCCCCCCCCCCCAACCCCCCCCCCCCCTCCCCCCCCGCCCCCCCCCGCCCCCCCCCCACCGCCACCCCCCACCCCCCCCCCCGCCCCTCGCACCCCCCCTCCTCCCCCCACCCCATCCCCCCCCCCACGCCCAGCCCCCACTACCCCTGCCTTCCACCCCCTCCCCCCCCCCCCCCCCCTCCCACCCGCCCCTCCACCCCCCCCCCTCCCCCCCCCCCCCGCCACTCCTCAGCTAGCCCTGGGCCTGCAGCCAGCCGTCGTTGCCGGCCACCCCGAGGGAGGTCGAGCCTTACCACGCGCGTCGGGGAACCGGTCACGCGCACCGCATCGTCCTTCGCCGAGAACTCTGAGCTGCCAGCAGCGGCACTGGCCCCATTTCCCAGCCCTCTTGCTCCGGGGCGAGGTTCGAGGTCAACGGTGTTTTTCGTTTTGTGTTCGTTTTTTGTTTGTTTCTCGTTTTGCTCGACCTGTTCTCCTGTACCTCCCTGCCAAGACGAAAAACAAAACACAGCCGACGTCCAGCAAAACAACGTTTAGGTCAAGCCCTGTCTTGCGCCACTTTGGGGCCCCCTAGTCCGTCTGGCACTCGTGAGGGGTGCCTGGGGATCCCCAGACGGTGCGGTGACTGACCGCGCAGTGACCTCGAAACCCCAGAAAGCCTCACCGCAAGGTCCGTCACCGCACGGTATTGGGACCGCGGGGAAGCCCCAATTGCCCGAGACGTTCTCGGAGACCGACCCGAGACCCAAAACCGCACGGCGACCCCGAATCCCCGCTGACTCGCCACGCGAGGTGGTCACCGCACCGTTTGGGCGCCCCCGCGGTGATGTGGAGGCCATCTCGGATCCCCGGGAACGCTGGGGTCATCTCGGGCGAGGGTCACCTCCGGGAACACCCAGCCCAAGCTCTTGCCTCATGCGTGCTGGAGCGATCCTCCGGCCACTGAGCGCCGCGCTCGCCGAACGCGACCAGCGGCGACCTGGCACGGCGGCCATGTTGTTCTCTATCACTCTGTCTCTCTTCTGACCCCCGCGTGCGACTGGGCCCACGGAGCACGAGGTCGCTGCTGGACAGCGCCGCCAGGGCAGAAACGCGCGCGTCCCGCAGCAGCAGCCCCCACCGCCAAGCATGCAATCTGCATGGTCTTGGACAGTGCGATTCGCCGAGCCCGCGCCAAGTGTCCCCTTGCCCTCACCCAGGCGCAGGTTGATGAAGAGGACATCCCGACGCCGTCGTCGCGACCCCGAGTGGGGCGACTAGATTCAAAGCAACAGGCATCCGGGCATCCGGAAAGTAATAATTCTGCACGCCGCCAGGAGGCGAGAACGTCTGCAGAGCCCTCTTATATATCAACATATCTATATATATATATATACATACAAAGCTGCAGTGGCGCTTCGCGCCATGCACCTTGGTCCTTGAAGTTTGGTATGCAGGCGGAATGGCAGGAAGGTCAAGCCGACACTTTAGCGATAACTCCTTGTTGCCTTTTTCGGCATCGCCGATATAGTAATGTTATTCGTTATCCTTCCTCCATACTTCTTTTTCCTCATTCTCGCCATAGCCTGCGCATTCTCCACATCCTCCTCCTCAGCTCATTTTGCGGAGGCTCCTCCTTGGAGAGCCTCTGGGGGCCTTACAACAGTTTATCAGGCTTTCTTAAAGCCTTCTTGAGGCCTCCTGGGCGTGTTCTGGGGGCCTCTGGGGGCTTCCTCGGGCCACCCTGCCTGCAACCGCGGTCTCCATGAACGACCAAGTCACGATTTGGAATGCTTCGGAGCGTGTCTTGGGGCCATCTTGGGCCGTCATGGGGCTCTTGGAGGGCCATCTTGGACACCTGTTGTGCCGTTTTGGGGCTCTCTTAGACAGCCTGGAAGTTGTGGGGCGATTTGGAGCCTCCCAGGCGCCTTCGGACGCCCAGAAGACCACCGTCTTGGAGCGTCGGGAAGCCGAAAAGAGAACCCCCACATTCACCAAAAACCATAAGAAAATCTATGATTTTTGCCTCTTGGGGCCTTCTTGGGAGTGCTCTTGGAGGCCTCTTGGGATGTTTTGGAGCGATCTTTGAGGACATGACGGCTTCTTGGGGGTCGTCGTGGACCGTATTGGGGCTCTCTGGGGTCGTTTCGGGAGCGCGCCGGAACGCCTGGAACCCGTCTGAGGCCGTCTTCGGGCTCTCGTGAGGTTCTCCCGGGTCGTCTGAAGGGTTGCCCAGAGGCCCAGGGAAGGCCAAATTCGTGTGTGTGTGTGTGTGTGTGCGCGCGTTTTTCGGCGTCTCCGACCCTATAAATACATACATGTATAAATATATATATATATATATATATATATATATATATAGGTACCACCCTTTGGATGATAAGGAGGTTGCGGGGGGGATGGGGGCAACCGAGGACAACTGCAGTGGCTGTGATGGTGACGATGCTGGTGACGACGAGTTGGCGACGATGCATGATGCCGCCACTGGTGACAATGCGTGCTGCCGGTACCTGGCGGCGATGCTGGCCACAATGCATGTGGTGGTGGCGACGCATGGCGGCGATGCTGGTGATGAGCGGGGTATGGAAAAACGGGTAGCGCGCAATAAGTAACAGTGCGTCAAGCATCTCACAATCGACCTCACCATCGATCTCACTATCGATCTCACAGTCGATTTGTCTATCGATGTCACTATCGATCTCACTACCGATCTCACTATCGATCTTCTCATTATCGATCTCACGGGACTCCACGGGGCACCGCGCCACGGGACACCTCAGGACACCACGGGACACCGTCGGGACACCCCGGAGCTACCGCTGGCAAACTGGGAGAGGGGAATCATTGAGCCTGGTTTCGCCCTAGCAACGGTGGGTTCATTCCTCTCGCCCGCCCACGCAGCTTCGCCTCGCCCGCACGCACGACACGACACGAAGACGAAACACGCCTCGCGCGACGTCACGAGCAGGATCAGGATCGAGGAACTGTTCAACATCTTCAACGCCATAACGGTCGAAGAAACAACATCCTTCTTGCGAAGGCATCATGTTATGCCGTTAGGGTCGAGCACGGACACTGCGTGACGGTCACGTGCACTAAGCTAAGGATGATGGCCGAGGTCGAGAAGGGTGCAGTCACCGAGACGTGCGATTTCCTTCGAGATTGGACGAGCCAGTAGGAGGTAAAGTGTTTCCATATGCGGTCCCTGCTTGGACGTGCTGCAACTGGGCCCGAGGAGTCCACGAAACATCGAGCACTGAGAGGTTTATGCGCGAGGATGGTGTGATGTGTGATGTGTACGCTCAGGGGAGCGTGCTGATTTGTACTGTTGCGACCCCTATCAGGCTCAATATGATGTTGTGGAGAAAATCGGTACTCCTCTCCCTCGGGCGAAGGTGACATTCCGCGGACCCCAGCTCCACCTACTCAATACAATCCTGATACTACTAAGTAATTGCATATATACACATATGCATAATGTGCGGATTGCACTGCAGTAAACGATGCCGTAACGCACGACAGAAAGGACCATATCTCGTCTCGCCAAAAGACGCTACACAGAACGTGCAAGGACACGGCGCGGCACGGCACACACTTCAACTGCTGAGCATCTTGCGCCACGTGCTGCGTCGTAATTTGTGCCAAACACCCGGGGCCACGAAAAGACAAATCCCGCTCCGGCCCACCGCATCACACCCCGGGCCACATAATCACGAGTTGGCTCCCGCTCTGTCACCCTGCGTCACACGTTGCGTCAGACACCCTGGGCCACTTTTGAGCCGCATGTCGCGCCTCGTCGCCTCCTGGAACATCTTGAACCATCTCACCCTCTTGGGAGCTCCTGGACCAATTTTGCGAGACACTCCAATGCGAAAACGCTTCATTGTGCTCCTGCTGCTGATGTTGCTGCTCCCCCCCTCCTCCTCCTTCTCGCCCTCCTCCTCCTCCTCCTCCTTCTCCTCCTCCTCCTCCTCCTCCTCCTCCTCCTCCTCCTCCTCCTCCTCCTCTCCTCTTCCTTCCCCCCTCATCATCTCATCCCCCAGTCGACATTCCTGCGCCCATCTTCATCCGCCCTCCACCTCTTCATTCCCTTCTTCCTCCTCCTTCTGCTCCCAGAAGTCCTCCCCCTTAATCCTCCCGCTCCTTTCCCCCCTGACACATCCTCTTCCTCCCCATGGCCTCCTGCCCCTTCCGCTCTCTCTCGCTCTCTCTCTCTCTCTCTCTCTTTCTCTACGCCAGTCAGCGCCGCCCAAGCCACGCGGGCCGACGCCGCGCTCGCGGCTCCCGCCACTGCCGACGTGGGGGTCGCCGCCGGGGGATTCACCGATGGGGGGGGTCCTCTTCTGGCTGGAAGACGAAACTTTGCAACAACAACAACGACCGACCTAGAGAGAACCACATTGCCCCCTCCCCCCCCGGCCTTAACATTGGTAAGGCGTGCGTTCGAGCTGCTGGGTTCAAGATTCTTCGGGCCCCGTTTCTTGGGGAACGCTTGCTCAATATTATGTCTGGAGTCGGAGGCGGGTGATGCGAAGTG